TTTTGTTTGGAGTATGTTTTGGTGATATCTAGGTCCATTTGGGATTTCGAGCATGGGAATAGTTCCGTATGGTGAATTATGACTTGCACGCAAAATTTGGTGTCATTCCGGGTAGTTTCACTATGATTCGACGCCTTCAAAGTAAGTTGGAAGAACTTGAAGTTCATAATCTAATTTGATTTGGTGTGGGGTGTGATTTGTAATTTTTATGTTGTTTTACGCGTTCCAAGGGTTTGAGCGAGTCCATTTTATGTTTACGAACTTGTTGGTATGCTTGGGCGAGGTCCCGGGGAGCTAGGGTGTTATTCGGACGTTATGCAGAACATGGTTGAACTTGGAACCATGACTGTAGCAGCAACAGTTTCTGTTTCATTCGTACCAGCAAGGAGTTATCCGCAGGTACGAGCCAACGACCGTAGGAGCGGCTGGGAGTGGACTGACCAGTGTGCGCAGAAGCGCAATCGCTTCTGCGATGAGGGGATCGCAGGCGCGGAGGGATGTAGTTTGGCAAGGTCGCAGGTGCGATGCCTTTCCATAGGTGCGCCCTGTACTGGATCATGTGTGTTCAGTGGAAATGGACCTTTTCCCGCAGAAGCGGCGTCGTGGGTGTGACCCAAGGTCCGCACAAGCAGAAATCACTAGAGGCAGTGTGGTTTTTTATCCGAGACTTAGCCCTTTTTCCTCAAGATTTTACTTAGTCATGTGAGATTTATTTTTTTGCTGAAGTCCACTAGGCATGGTGCCTAGGGTTAATTTTCATAAATATAAACAAGACTAGTACAACATGGGAGGGGGACATAAACCTTACCTCCAAAAAGATGACTGAAATGCAATTGGTTATCCAAACATGACAACCAAGTGATTCCTGAAAACTATGTGGAGTTAGACCTGTAGTAAAGTGCCAATCGCATCTAAAAAATAGGTTGGTTCTCCCATTGGAGTAAGGCAAAAAATAGGTGAGTATGCTAGGAGTTGTCTTCAACTTAGCTTTGACAATGAGAGCATAGAAAGCCAAGCTGAAGACAGTTGTTAATGAGATCCATTTAGATGACTGAACTTGCTACCTTTGAATAGTGAAGTTGACAGAAGAGATTGAGCCTTGGCTTGTTGTCTTCATTCAAAAAATAGAGAAGTAAAAGGAGAGAACTGGTAGCATCGAGGAGCTGCTGTTGGAGCTATTGCAATGTGTAACCTTCTGCATTTGGAGGCTAATAATAGTAGTGGCATATTGGATAGTTAGGTTTGAGTCCCTAAGTGTGTCCTGATCAAACCTCAGCACTTGAACACTGATAGTGATGCTGCTGCAGACAAAGGATCCTGGACTGGAACTACTGCATGCAAGTTGGAATGAGAGTTGTGGAGTTGCTGAGGATAGAGTTATGCTCCTAGATTCTTATGGGTTCTAGGAGCAAGAAGGTTAACTGGGCAGTAGATGAGTGAAGGTCCTTTTTTGTGTAGTGTGAATTGCATTTCTTGTTGGACTTTCCTGTCACAGGTAGGATGTGGCTTCTCTGTTCATGGTTAGAGTAGTATGTAGAGTTGATTGGTGTGATGGTGTTTGGAATGTGCGATAAGTTATTGTGGTTACTGGTTCTGTTATCTTTGAGGATATATGGGTGTGAAGGTGATTTCCAGGAGGTGGTAGGTAGGACTTGAATGCTTGCAACATACCATTGATAATCCTCCAATAGATTGAGCAACATGGTTGCTAATACCACACATTGGATGACTGCCAATGGCCTGTGCAGAACATTATGGGTAATACCTGTAAAATAGAAAAACAAATTAGTGCAACTGTTGTCACCACTACTCTTCTCCCAATGGACTTGAACATGGTGAGTGGTGGCCTCTTTCAGAAAACCTGTCCCCAATTCAGAAAATTCAACTTCAACCATGAGGAGAAGGATAGTTGGTGGCCTGCTGTGTGGGAGGCTTGAGCTTCTTGATCTTCTTGTGTCTGAAGGTTGGTGTGCCTAAGTAGTCCTGTAGGATCTGTCCTCTGATGTTGTAAGGCATAGAAGAGGGTGAGGTGTGGTTGGTCAATGTTGTGAGCTCATGGCTGAGTTTAGAAAGTGAGTCAGCAGGGCAGTTGGCTTCTCTATAGGTGTGTGAGCATTTGAAACTTTCACATTGAATGCAGAGTTTTGAAAGCTGCTGCAATTTCATCTTCAAAGACCAGGGGTAGTTTTTACCATTGGTAAGCCACTGAATTAGAAGTGCAGAGTCAGATTCCAAACGGACCTTAGTGAATCAATTATTCAAGCACCACTCGATTCCTAAAAGAGCTGCTTTTGTTTCTGCAACATTGTTGGTACCTTCCCCTAAAAAAGAAGCTATGGCATGGATAAATGCACAGTTGTGATCTCTAATGATCACCCCTGCCCCAATCTTTCCTGGGTTTGTGAGTGCACTCCCATTACTGTTGATCTTCAGAAAGCCATGGATTGGCTTATTCCAAACTACCTGAGTGGAGATGGTTTGATGTTGGAGGTTCTCAATGAAAAGGTATAACTCCTACTAGTTAAGGGGCCATTTGATTTCTGGAATGTTGGCTCTAAGCAACAGGTTGATGTCAGAGTTAATAGAGAATAAAACTTTGGTCAAAGAGGAGGATTTGGCTCCATATTTGGCACTGCACCTATTCTTCCACAAATTCCAACAGATTATGATAGGCATGGTGTGTAGGATGAGCCTTTGTACTTCATTGTGACTGTTAAGAAGCGACCACTTCATCAGTAGTATTGTGAGTGGCATATCTTCAGTTTGAATTCCAACTGGACATCCAAATTTCATCCACACAACTGGCAAAGTTACCCACACTAAAGAGATGGTCGACTGTTTCATTGGAATGAACAAAGCAGCAAACACACCTAGCAACTATAGGATTGCTAAAAGCTAACACCCTGTCATCAGTTGGAAGCTTATTTCTGAGAGCTCTCCACAAACAAAAGGACCATTTGAGTGGGATCTTTTTGTGCCATGTCATCTTATTGGAGAGGTTGTGTTGCTTCTTTTTCTGATTAATTCCCATGCAGAAGCACATGTGAACCTGCCATCAGTAGTAGGGGTACAAATAACTTCATCTTGCAAGTTGTTGTTGAAGAAGACAGTGGTCTGAATGATTAGAGGGATCATGTGAGCTGGTGCACTCTCATTGAGTCCTTGAAGGTTCCACAGGCCATTGTTCTAGAAATAGGAGACTGAAACATTCCCAGGTCTACCTCTTTCATTTCTGTGAGCTGCTAGATGACCTGACCCCTACCAGTTATCCCACCAGAAGCTGCAATTTCCATATTGAAGTCTCTATTGGATGTTCTTTTCGCCTTCTTTCTTTTTAAAAGTCAATCTTTTCCATGCTTGTGATTGCCCTGTATCCCATTTTTCGGAGATGGGATTAGATCTTTGACAGTACTTGGCTTTAAGAAAGCTACTCCACAAAGATTGAGTAGATCTGAAATGCCACCATTGTATGTATTCTATTAATTTGCAAATGTCTTCAATGGCTCTGAAGCCAAGACCCTCCTCATTCACAGGGAACATAACTTGTGCCATGATGCCCAATTGTACTTCCTTTTGTTATCTTCCATGCCCCAGAAGAATTTTGCTGCTAGCTTCTCAATTTGTTTCATGACTGTCTTGGGAGGGGAGACTGCTGATAGCAAATGGATTGGCATAGATTGGACAACATGCTTTATCAGAGTAGCCCTTCCTCCATTTGACAACATTTTGCCATACCAGCCCTGATTCTTCCTACAATTTTGGAGGTAAGGTTGTTGAAGTGGATGACTTTTAGCCTGCCAGTGTACAATGGACATCCCAGGTAAGTGAGAGGAGATAACTTCCTGGAGAAACTTGTAACTGCTTGGATTCTTCTAATAGTTGACTAGAATGCACAAGGATAGGTCATGAAATGACTTTTGTGCCTATTGATCTGTTGGCCAGAAGTATCCTCATACTTATTCAATATCCACATGATTGTCTGAAGTGAGGATCTTTTCCCAGAAGAGAAAATGATGATATCATCTGCAAAGCTGAGGTGATTCACTTGAGGGCCCTTTCTTTCCATATAGAAACCATTGAAAAACTTATCATGATTGAGGGTGTTAAGCATTCTAGACAAAAACTCAGCCCCTATGATGAACAAAGAAGGGGCAAGGGGGTATCCTTGCTTTAAGCCCCTTGTAGAGTGGAAAGAATTAAGCCTAGTTCCATTTACAATAATTGAGTACCAGTTGTTAGACATGGTTCTCTATATCATATCAATAACCAACTCACAAAAGCCCATTCTACTCAGCATTATACAAGTGAAGCTCCAGGAGACCCTATCATAAGCTTTAGCCATATCTAACTTGATGACTACATTGGAGCCCTTATTTGGTTTCTTGATACCATGGACAATTTCCTGAGAAAGCATGATATTCTCAAAAATGTTTCTTCCTTTTACAAAGCAAGACTGGTTAGCAGAGATAATTATGGGGAGTATAGGCCCAAGTCTAATACATATGACTTTGGAGATGATCTTGTTTATGAAATTGTTGAGGCTGATGGGTCTGAATTCAGATAGGGAATTAGGAAATTCCACCTTACGGATGAGAACCAAGCATGCACTGGTCATGTATTTTGGCATCCTACAGCCACCAAAGAAAGCTAATACAACATTTAGAAGATCATTCTTAATGATCATTCTTAATTTGCCATTGAAACCATCTGGCCCTGCAACGCTAGTGGGGTTCATGGAGAAGACAATCTCTTTAAGCTCAGATGCATGACAGTAAATCTTCTTTGATGGCTCCTCCTGGATTTGTGAAAAGGTCTTGGTAAAATTCACATGTTGCATTACCAATAGCCTCATCACCTTGAATCCAGTGTCCATTCTCATATTTTATTTTGTGGATATAGAGTTTCCTTCTTTTGCCTCTAATAAGAGTGTGGAAATATTTAGAGTTGGCTTCACCTTCTTTGAACTACTGTAGTTGTATTTTTTGTTTCAGAAATGTCTCCTATAACTTCATGTATCTGATGTATTGAGCTTCAAGATCATGTAATGTTGCTCTATCAGATTCATCATTGGTCTGAGCCAAAACCATTTCTGCTGCCTTCACTTGCTCTTCAAACTCTTTTGCTTTTTGGAAGATGTCACCATATTCTTGTCTTGACCATTTACTTAAACCAGTGCAAAGTGCCTTAAGCTTTTGATGGAATATCCACATAGCACTCCCATTCACTTGTTTGTCCCAGATGCCTTTAACATATGGTTTGAAGTTAACATTATCGACCCATAAGATAAGAAATCTAAAGTACTTGTTGTCAGTGTCCTGCCTCACATTGATTTCCATGAGTAGGTGATTGTGATCTGACCCTATTGAAGCTAGATGGGAAACAGTAGTATTGGAAAATGCAGCTAACCATTGATCATTCACAAGGCCCCTGTCTAGCCTTTTCCAAACAATAGAGCATTGCCCTATACCATTGGACCAGGTGCATTTAGGACCATAAAAACCCAAGTCGAGAAAATCTATACTCTTGCTCATTTGGTAGGTAATGCCCCCCATCTTCTCTTCAACTGAAGCAATTACATTGAAGTCTCCAATCACACACCAAAGAGAGTCATAGGTGGCATATTTGTGCCTCAACATCTCCCAAAGAGGCCTTCTCAGAATTGGCTTGCATTTGGCTTAGACTACTGTTAGGTAAAAGGAGTTGTTATATTCAACATGTCTCATCTCTAAGGTAAGTTGTTGTTCATCATGATCGGTAACTGAGGCAGTGAACTCTTTGTCCCAAAAACCCAGATTTTTTTATTAGCATTGGAGGTAGCTTGGTGCATAGAGAGTTGGAGTTTGAAATGGTTGATATGAGAGGTGTCAAGGAAAGGTTCTAAGACAGCAATAAAGGATAATTTGTGAATGTGTTTTAGAATTCTGAGCCTTTCAATAGCTCCAGAGGTTCTGATGCAACTTGCATTCCAAATAATTGTACTAATCATTGGAAAGAGGAGGAGGTTTTGTGGGTTGGTGGGACACTGCTACTCCTAGCAGCTTTGCTTCTGGTAATCCTTGGTGAGGGTCTCATTCTGGATGGAGCTGTTGTAGGTGAAACATTGTCCTGATTTGGGTATCTATTTAGTGCAACAATCAGAAGATCACAGTGTCGTTCTTCTTCAGGATCCTCCTTACTAGACCCATTTTCATTATCTTGATCCCCCTATTATGTCATCCTAAGATTGTATCGGCCTGTATTCATCTTCCTGAGGAGAATATCTGCTGAGTGGTTCCTCTAGGACCTTTGGTAAGTCATTTCCACTAGAGGTTGTAAGGGAGGGATTGGCAATTACAATATGTTTGTAAGTAGGGGATTCCTCTGATTCATTAGGAACAAGACTACATCTTTTCTGAACTACAGGGCTCAAAAAATGGTTATCATCATGAGACTCAGTAGGTTGATTAATACTCATTCCTGTATTTTGTTTTCTCATAGCTTTCCTTCTTTTCTGACTGGGTTTGTTCTTTTGTGTCTGAATTTGGAAATCTGTTGCGGCATGGGATTTTCCTTTAAGCGTCTTGGGAGATTTTGAGAGCTTATTGGAGGGGGATTTCATCAATATCCTAAGGTAAATAACTTCCACTCATTTTCAAGTTAATTATGCGGGTTTTAGGTAGGTTAAACGCGGAAAGATTGTGAAAACTTGTAGGATTCATGAAGGACCTAGGGTTTTGGTAAAAAATATAATTTGATCACGAAATTGGTTATGGAATTGAGTGAAAATTGTATGTTTGAGTTCGTGAGGCTATGGGTAATAATTATCTTCGAACAATTTTCATGTTCCGGGCACGCGGGTTCGGGGGCGAATTTTAAGAATCATCTAATTTGGGTTGGAAAGTTACTCTAATAACTAAATTATAAGCTTTTGACTATGTATTGAGTAATTCTTATAACTTTTGGCTAGTTTCAGATTATTCGGCACCGACTTGAGGCTTTAGAGTGAATTTGTGGACCGGAAGTGAGCTTCGGAGCGAGGTTAGTCTCTTGCCTAACCTTGTAAGTGGGAACTCAACTCCTTAGGTACATTATGTTTTGTATTTCTTGTGTAGAGAGCTACGTACGCACGAGGTGATGAGAGTCTGTGTGTAGATATATTCCATGATATGTCCGGGTAGACTTAGATGTACATCATGCCTTTAACTGTATAGTTATGTTTATCATGCGTGTTAATTTTCTTAAATAGAGCTGAGACTAGTGATTTTTAAAGTTTCAATTATCGATTTAGTCTTCTTATTTTGGAATGATTGAGAAATACTGATTTACTATGAAAAATCCATGTCCTCTCGCGTCACAATTACTTTTGCGAGCGAGATAAACTTCTCTACTCTTATGGGATCAGGTTGTTCACCTCGCCAGTACCACTACTATTATGGGGTCAGGCCGTTCGCCTCGGCGGTATCATATTCTTATGGGATCGGGCCATTCGCCTTGGCAGTATCACTTCTCTTTTTGGATCGGGTTATTTGCCTCGGCAGTATCATATTCTTATCGAATCGGGCCGTTCACCTCGGTAGCATCACTATTCTTTTGAGATCGGGCTGTTCGCTTCGGTAGTACTGAGTACCACTATTCTTAGGGGATCGGGTCGTTCGTCTCAAAAACTTCGTGCTTAATAATCAAAATGGGTTTCAGATTGAATAATTGAGTTAGTACCTTCACTTTTGGTTATGAGATGTTGGTGGGTGTTACGGAAATCCTGTTGTACTTATTGTAATTTCTTTATTTTGACTAATTGATGCCAGTTGTTTGCTCACCTTATCACTAGTTGTTTTCCCTCTAGTAAGTATCAAGTCAACCCCTTCATCACTACTTCTTCGATGTTAGACAAGATACTTATTGGGTATGTATTGTTCTTCGTACACATGCTATAATTCTGCACTGATATGCTGGTACTGCGACCGGTTCCACCAGTGGTGAGGCGGGCGTGCAGCCGATCTGTTGTGGAGACTTAGGGGTGAGTTTCTTGACTTGCTACGATCTGCAGCACCGTAGTCTCCTTCTATATATTATTTACTATTTTTGTCTATCACTTTCAGACAGTAGTCTTTGTGGTTTGAATATATTCTTTAGATAGCTCATGTACTTGTGGCGCCGGGTTTTGAGGATTTGTAGCACTTTTGTATTGTTGTACCCGTCGCTTTTATTGCAGCAGACTATATATTTTTATGTTGAAACTTGTTTAAAAAGACTTATCATCATTGCATAAAATTTGGTGTGATTAAAATGTGTTAAAAGGGGATAAATAAATGGTAAGTTCGCTTGTGTGCTTGCCTAGCGGTGGAGTTAGGTGCAGTATCAACCTAGTACGGAATTGGGTCGTGACATTCAATATTAGGACTAGGTATCCCAATCCACTCTAAAACCATCCTAAAATCAATCCAACCACCCCGGCAAGTCACATAACCACAAATGAACATAGAAGAGGAAATAGGGGAACAAGGCTACAATACACAAAATGACAGGCCGGATCATTACAATAGGACTATTTATGCAAAGAAACAAAACTACATAGTAGCAGGGGTCAGGTGCGCCACACCAAGCAACGCACCTAGACCAGGCGCAATGGCTAGAGCATCGTTCTTGGCATTGCACCTATCCTAGGCGTGAAGGTAGGTTGATCTTGGTCACTGCTTTCTAGTTCGTCTTCCTAATGTTTTCATCTAAACTCTCTCCAAACACGTTGAAACTCAATCGAGCCCCTGGGGCCTCCTCCAAATCATCCCAAAAATTCTAATTACCATGTATGGACCTATTCAAAGTCTCAAAGTACAAAATAAAGTACAACAACTCAAATCGGCAACTCAATTGCACTTCAAGAATTAAAACTTTTCAACTTTAATGAAATAAAAATGAAATGCTCCTAGGTCTACGGGTCCTAATCCGAACATACGCAAAGTCATAGTACATCATATAAACTTGTTTGAAACTTCAAAACACAAACCAAAGTGTTGTTACTAGATTTGAGGGATAAGGTCACCAATTTAACATTCTAGCCTCCCAAATTTCATGATAGTGTTCAATTATTCCTGAATTCTTTGGGACCCAAATCATCCATATCTGCAAGTCATAAAATTCCATGCGAACCTATGAGAAATTTCAAATTAGAGAAGGGGATGGTAAAACTCAAAATGGCTAGTTGGGTCATTATATTCTTCACATTTTAAATAAACGTTAGTTGAACGAGTTTAAATATGCGCTTAAGCTATCAAAGTGGTGTGGATATCTGCTCTTAGTGGTTGACTTGGTCTCCCAAGAAGCATCCTCAATCAATTGAATATTCCAATGAACTTTCACCAAAGCGATCTACTTTGACGTTAGCTTCTGGGCCCATCTATCAAAAATAACCATAGGCTCTTCTTCAAAAGCTAAATTCTCATTCAATTTCACCGCTCTAAAGTCGAAAACATGTGACTTATCCTTATTATACTTTCGAAGTATAAAAAACATGAAATACATAATGAAAGCATAATTGTCTAGGCAAAGCAACCCTATAAGCCACCTCACCTACTCTCTTTCCAAAATCCTAATTAACCTAATGAACCTTGGACTCAACTTGCTCTTCTTTCCAAATTTCATCATAACGTTTTTGAGAAAAACTTTTAAAAGTACCTCTTAACTCTCCATGAACTTAATATCACGAACTTTTCAGTCTACGTATCTCTTTTTCCTACTCTGGTTTGTGTGAGGACGCTCTTGAATCAATTTGACCGTTTACAAGGAATTATATACCAAATCTATACCAAACAACCTAGCTTCATCTGGCTCAAATCTTCCAATAGAAAAATGATATTATCTTCCTACAAAGCCTCATACAGTGCCATTTGAATGATAGAGTGGTAACTTGTATTTTCTGCAAACTCCACCAAAAGGAAAAAACCGTTCCCAATGACCTCTAAAGTCAATTGTGGAAGTTCTCAACATGTCCTCAAGAAACTGAATAGTCTGCTCAGATTGAACACCAGTATGTGGGTGAAATATGACGTTAATCTTAACTTGTATACCTAATTCACGCTACACAGCTCTCCAAAAGTGAGATATGAACCGAGTACTAAATAAAAAATAATTGAAATAGGCACCCAAGCAAACAAACTATCTTCAAGATAAAAATTTGTGCCATCTTTTCCAAGAAGTAAGTGGCAAACACCAGTATTAAATATATGGACTTAGTCAATCTATCAAACCACCTGGTTTTTTATGCTCACATATGACATGTTGACAATTCAAATACCACAAAACATACTTGGTAATGTCCTTCTTCATCCTACGCCACCAGTAGTGTTACTTTAAGTCATGATCCATCTTTGTAATCACATGGATGAATAGAATACTGTAACATATGAGCAACCTCAACTATGAACTCCCTCAAATCATCAACATTAGACACATAAATCCAACTGTGTAGTTGCATAAAACTACTAACACCAATAACCACCTACTCGGCACCACCTAATTTAATCATGTCCTTAATTAAAAGAAAATGAGGATCATCAATATAGTGTGTCTTAATTTGCTCAAATAACGATGATTGGGAAACAATACAAGTAAGAACCTCATTAGGCTTAGAAATATCCAATCTCGCAAATATGTTAGCTAA